TCGCTTTAGTTCGGCTTCATCATATTATTTGCTTTCTTGGCCAAAGAGAGAGTTTGCAATTTATGCTACGTTTTAAGTGTATTATCACAGTCTAGATGGTCGGTAAAAGGAAAAAAAACGGTTTATTATGGCCCCACTTATTCCGGAATTGTATGACGTTGCGTTTTATTATTTATGAAAATTGCGCTACGACTGTTTCCAAATCATTTCCGCGGAAAACTTCTTGGCCTATTGACGTAAAACAGAGAAAATTACAAAGGAAATCAACTTCGCTCGAAACGTAATAATTTTTAAAGGGTAAAGAGTTAGTGGAAGCACTACCGCACAAATTTATTACATACTTAACAATGGCTGTTATGTGGATTTTTGCTTTTAGAGACCGAACTTTTTTAGTTTTATAACTCCAGTTTTACGTGAAGTAATATTTTTTAGTGCAGTTTATTATTGCGAAAAGCGCTTTGCAACTTTACCACAGATTTTCGCTTATCAAAATCGAAATTACAACCGACAGTTTGATCGAGTTCGTTAAGGTAACCAAACAGCATAATTTACAATGTTATGGAACAAATGGGTTGCCTAATTGGTCATGATTTATTAAACGATTACTAATCAAATTGAACTCATTTTTTGTAGAAATCGTCTTCTATAAACTTGGTAATAAATTGTGTTGAAGTTCTTTCATTTTTTCTTAGGTTCATTAGTATCATCATTTTGAAAAGTTTCACTTATTTCTTCAATAAAATTTATTTCTAGAGAAGATAATTTTTGTATAGGTCTGACGATAGTGCCATTGGATTGTTTTCTATTTCACCACTCGAATATGGTTATCCTTTCTAGAATAGAGTTCTAACACCTAGACCTAATGGTCAATCCATTTTTTCGTGTTAGATCCAATCAGTATACCTACATCTACATCCCCTTTTTTAATAGGGCGTTTTTCTTTTAATTTTCGCTTTAAATTTAGTTGACCAAGATATGCAGATCTAAATCCGTTCTTTAGATCAGTTTTAATTGTGGTATTAAATTTTTTAATAATATAAAGAAAGGGGACCAGCAAGATCCACTCCAATAAATTCAAAAATTGCTGGATCCGCTACTCTATTCTCTGGTAATGGTAATGCGGGTGTTTCGAAATTCGTACCTTCTGCACAGAGTACATTTAGAAATGGCATTTTTTGTTGTTTTCTGATATCCAAAAGTTTTCTCTAAAAAGTGCAAGTAAACCTTAAGTACCAATATGTCAATTTTTAATAGATTTTTGTTTTAAGAGATTATAGAAGAAGGTTGTTCCCATAGTTTGTAGTTTTCTAATGCACCTATTACTTTTGTTGATGTAGAGAGACGTTTCTCTGCTTAGTGCTTATAAATTAATTCTTAGCGACTTCGTGCAGAAAACTTAAAAAAACATGTTATTGCTAGTGTTTATCGTAATTCCTTTTTTATTAGAAATTATGCAACATATATAATTTGGCACATGTATGCATATACATCAAAACTGTTTGCGTATTTTTCATTAATATTCTGCATATATCTGCACATATTTTACCATTTATTGTGTATTAATACAGGTAGTCAAGAAAATTCGCAAAAACTTTTAAAAAAACATTTTTTTAAATTACTTATTAACAGTTGATTTTATCGAAACAGTACTTATGTATATTTATAGCACATATAAAGAGCTTTCATTACAAAAAAAGAATAATGAAATTGGATCAATAATTCCAGAGATATAGTTGATTTTATAAAACTCAGTATCCGCAATCTTTGATTCGCCGCCATTTCTATTAGCTACCACTTTGAGACTACAGGCCACATTCTATAAGAAATTTTTTTCCCGGCTCGATCTGAGACAATTTTTTTTTCGAGCCTCAAGAAAAGGCAGTTTTACCAAAAATCGACTGCACCAAAATTTCTCGGGAAAACACTTTTTCTTATTAATTTTGGTGCGTAGAATCCAAAACAATTCGTACTTTTTCGATCAGACTTTTCAATCAAAAGTTATAGACTAAAAACCAATTGGGAGATAAAATTGAAATGGCTGTAACTTTTGAACTAGTAGCCCAATCTTGGAACAGTTTGAAATTATGGATTCTACAGGCCACATTCTATAAGAAAATTTTTTTCCCGAGTCGATCTGAGACAATTTTTTTTGCGGGCCTCAAAAAATTTTTTTACCAAAAATCGACTACACCAAAATTTCTCAGGAAAACACTTTTTCTTATTAATTTTGGTCCGTAGAATCCAAAACAATTCGTACTTTTTCGCTCAGCCTACTCAATCAAAAGTTATAGACTAGAAACCAATTTCGAAATAAAATTCAAAGGGCTGTAACTTTTGAACTAATAGCCCAATCTTGGAACTGTTTGAAATTATGGATTTTACAGGCCACATTCTATAAGCAAATTTTTTTTCCGGGTCGATCTGGGACAATTTTTTTTCTTGCCTCAAAAAAAGGCAGTGTATTACCTTCCTTTTTTGCCAAAAATCGACTGCACCAAAATTTCCCGGGAAAATAATTTTTCTTATTAATTTTGGTGCGTAGAATCCAAAACAATTCGTAGTTTTTCGATCAGACTTCTCAATCAAAAATTATAGACTAAAAACCAATTTCGAAATAAAATTCAAAGGGCTGTAACTTTTGAACTAGTAGCCCAATCTTGGAACAGTTTGAAATTATGGATTCTACAGGCCACATTCTATAAGAAAATTTTTTTCCGGGTCGATCTGAGAACATTTTTTTTTCGCGCCTCAAAAAAAGGTAGTGTATTACCTTCCTTTTTGCCAAAAATCGACTGCACCAAAATTTCTCGGGAAAACACTTTTTCTTATTAATTTTGGTGCGTAGAATCCAAAACTATTCGTACTTTTTCGATCAGACTTCTCAATCAAAAGTTATAGACTAGAAACCAATTTCGAAAAAA